GGGCGCGGGCGACGGAGCAGGCGACGGGCCGCCGGGGGGCGGCGGGCTGGGCGGGAGCCCGTGCTCCAGCAGGAAGGCGTCCAGGTCCACGTACTCCACGTCGCCGAAAGGCAGCGTACGCTCCCACAGCAGCGGCGCCAACAGACTCGGGCCAGGCACGGCGCCCGGGCGTCCCCGTGGGGACCCGCCGCCTCCCACCGCCCCAGCGGGGGCATCCGCCGGGCCTGCCGTCTCCAGTCCCGGCCCCGGGACCGTGGCTGCGAGCGGAGACGCCTTGCGCTCCTTTTCCTTCAGGAGACCTGCAGGACGAGGAAACAGGGGCGGGGTGGAGATGGGGTGCAGGAGGGGGGGACCTCCGAATCGGAGAGGAGGTGTAGACGCGCACACCTCGGCGACCCGGGGGGGGGGGCGAGGGAGGACAAGGACTCAGAGGGAGGAGGGGACAGAGATAGAGGGTTTGAGAAAGTCCCAGAGAAGGACACAGATATTCAGAGATGGGGACAGAGGCTCAGAGAAAGAGGGTCGGGAGTTGAGAAAGAGGGGAGCAGGGACAGAGTAGGAGGGTTGGGCAGGTGAGAGAACAAAATGACAACTCTGATTGCTGCGATCCCCCGCTCCTCCCGTCCCCCACGCGGGAAGGGGCTCCGCTCCTCCGGCACATTCCTCATCCCCGGGTGCCATGTGACCCCGCGAGGCCCCGCCTAAGCCCGTGTCACCACCTTGTGAGCTCCGACACACCCCCTCCCTTCTCCCTGGATCCAGGGGTCCAGACCCCCAGGCCACAGGAGGGGAGTCGGGTCTCTGAGATTTCCTGGTACTTGGAGCGCACAGACCGCAAGCCTGCACCGTGTGCCCCGGACGCGAGCGGTCGAGGGGCCTAATCATTGGGCGACTGAAGGAAGGTTGGGGAAGGCGGACCCATCACGGGGGCGGTGTGTGCACCCCACCCCACCCCCCGCACCTGAGTCCCTGCGGGAGTGGGGCCGAACTCACAGCTGGCCGGCTCTCTGGGCTTGCTGGTCCCTTGCAGGAGGCTTCGCAACCCAAGCAGCGCTCCCCCGCTAGGGGGGGCCCCGGCTGGGCCGCCCAGCAGCAGGGGAGCCGGGGTCCTGTCGCTCAGAGGCCGCGCCATCGCCGGGCACCTGGCCCCAGGTTCATGGGCTCATGGAGAGGCGAAGGGCTGGCTCTCCAGGCGCCGGCACGCTCCTGGGCCTCGGGCGAGTGTCTACCCAGGATCGGGCGCGCGGAGCTCGCAAGCCTCCAGTATCCAGAACGCTGCAAATCCTAGGAACGCCAGGGATTTGCGGTCTTTGGTGCAGAAACGTGAGAGTCAAGAAAGTCCCGGGAGATCATACAGTCCTGGCGAGTAGGTGACCAGATCTGGCTGCTGGTTCTTTGCAAGGGATGGTGCAAGGGTACACAGGCGCTCCTTCTTACAAGGTGGGCAAGTCTGGCTCTTACAAAAATTGCAGCTCCACACAGGAGACGCTTTGCAATCTGCACCCGAGAGGTGTGCGCCGAGGGGCGGAGGAGGGGGTAGGAGGAGGCGGCCGCTTTGAGGCGTGGCCAAAGCAAACTTATTTCGCAGAAAAAAAATGCAAACCAAAACACCCGACGCCACAGAGTGCGTCCGCCTCCCGGACCCCGGCCCGCCCCGGCCCTGCGCCGCGCTCCTCCTTGGCCATGCACCCCAGCCGCGTGCCTCCCTCCGGCTGCAGGGACCAGCCAATCGTGTCCCGCGCTCTTGAGACACCCAGCCAATGGGGGCCCAGAAACTGCCAACCCCGGGAGGGCGCGTGAAGAGCTGAGCGCGTGAAGTTGTCTTGCCTTTTGGAAAGAGGCGGGACACTGACCTACATTTGCCCAATGGGAGGTGGCACTGGGGGCGGGACCGTGACCCAATTGTGACCAATGAGGCAGACGGAAGGGATAAACACATGGCTCTACGCGTGCCGCTTGATGGGGGTAGGGGAGAAGGGGGGTACCTCTTAAAGGAGCCACTTATCGGAATGATGGTTTTAGCTGTGAATGTTAGGAAGCAAGGTGCCAAGATACTAAGTGGCTGAGGCCTGTGAAGAGTCTGATTGGTTTCGGGAAGAAGGTGTTAATACCCGAATATTTCCCCATAAAGCCTTAGAATCAGACCACCGAGAAACAGGAAGTATTCGGTCTCTTTAATAGCTTTGTTTTGGGGTGACTCCCCTCCCCTTGTAGACAGGCTTGGGATGAGTGGCGTAATCCTCGGTGGGGAATCTCAGCGACCCTGGGGGGCACCATCCACTGCAAGAGAAGACGACAGCTGGGGGTCACGGTCTAGAGTGGGCGGTGCACGGGGTGTGCAGGGGAAGTGAGCGGCGCTGCGCAGGGGCCTGCCACGGGCGCTGTGAAGGAGGAGCCTGAACGTACCAAGTTAAGAAGCTGGGGGGGGGAATAAATCTGGACCATGTCATAGGGGGCAACAGGGAGATGGAATAGGGACGTCCGGATTAGCATTAGGCCAAACTACCTGAAGACATTCACTGGGACTAGGGGTCTGCACCATACCGTGTCGAGCGGCGGCCCTAGCTCTGTGGGCTGAACCACGGCAGGCAGTAGGGAGGAACAGGGATAGTATGTGGATTCTCAATAAGGGGGGAGGGCTGTCGGACCTAGGAACCCTAGGATCGTACCCTGGAAACAAAGGATCCGGATTATGCCACTTTGTAAAGTCACAGGAACAGAAGGCACAGTCCAGTAGGTACACTACCTGTACCTCAAGGATGCTAGAAGGCTGGGGTTGTATACCAAGTTGCAAAATGGTCTAGGAGGGAGGTGGACTGTACCATTTTGACAGAGAGGTGGAAGGGACTAGACCACACGGAAGGGGGGGACTGGATCGTATTGAAATGCGGTGGGGATATACAAGAGCAGATTGGATTAGGACCTGGTGGGGCTACAGACTAGAGCATACCGTGCAGGCGGTAGTTGGGGCCTCGGCAGCGCCTCTCGGGATGCCGGGGGTCCCTGTTGCCCCTCAAGGCCCTGTGGGCCAAAGGCTGCAGGGGCCGGCCGTTCCCGCTGAGGCTCTGGAAGATCTGGGACGGAGGATTCTGGCTCAGGAGTCTCAGGGAGTGCATCTGCCGTGGGAGGAGCGTGGGAAAGGGGTAATGAATGCAAGAGACCTGGATCAGCCACGCCCACCCGCAGGTTGGCTAAAGCCTAATTTCCTTGGGTTCCTAGTCCTGGAGAGGGAGGGTCAGGGAGGTAAGGGGTCTCCAGGCCTATGGGTAGGGAGCAGGATAGATGGTCACCTGGAGGGAGGTGATGTTGAGGGGCCGGTCAATGAGGATCCAGGTAACAGTCTCCGAGCATGGGGGTGTGCTGAGAGAGCCCTGGTAGGTGATGAAGCCAAAGGATTCAGGGAACAGAAGCTCCAGGCTCAGGTCTTGAAGAAAGTAGGCATCATCTGTGGGAATATCAGGCCAGAGTGGAGTGGGGTGCTCCTCTTAGCCGCTGCATGGTACCCCCAGCACCCCAGCACTTACTCTTGTAGGAGATGCGGGTGATGGTATCTCGGTTGAGAAGGCGACTGAGGAATGAGTTTGAGCTACCTGCCACCTGCGTGGGGTTGGTGGTGAGGCCAGAGCCTTCAGTTCAACCCCCAAACCCTCCTCTCCCACCACACCACCTCACTCTTTTTTCGCAGACCCCCAACTGGGCACGTGGCCAGCTGGCCTCGCTCACATTGACAAAGAGGCTGAGAATGGCCAGGCCATTGGGCCCGCGGGAGGCTGCACTGAGGTTCCCATAGAGTTCCTGGTTGAAGTGAATGAGCTGCACCTAGGACAGCCAAACAGAGAGTTGGGGGGTTTCTCCCCCACAGATGGGGAGGAAAGGAGGACCCCTTGTTTTGGGGTCAGGTTAAGGTTTAATGGTTAGGGTAGGGGGCAGTGCTGTGGAGGAGGATGGGCTGAGGCTTGTAGGAGGAAATGAGGTAGTAGGAATTGGGGTGATTCAGGGAAGTGACCAGGGGCCACTACCTCGGCAGAGAAGCCCTGATGGTTGATCTGGTGTTCAGAACCAGCTCCATCTCGAGCTCCAAACAACAGCCGAAGTTCGCTGAGTCGATGGCTGTAAAGGAGGGGACCCCCAGACACATTGACCACTGGCCGGGGTGCAGGCAAGAAGGAAACATGGCGCCCAGTGTTATACAGTGTTCCCCGGAGCTGTAAGAGAGCCAGAAGGGATTGGGTATACAGACAGGTCTTTCCTCTCGTACCTTCCAACCCTCCATTCACAGAGCCCAACAATCGTTTCATCATTCAATGGGCTGAATGATGGGATCTGGGCTCAGTATTGGTGAGTTTATTTAACATGTATTTATTGAGCTTCTACTGTATGCCATGGACACCAGGACACAGAGTAATGAAGGAGCACACAAGAGAGACAGGAAATAAGTAGTAACTCGCAAAGAAACTGTTTTTCCCCCAGTCCTGGGGATTGAACCTAGAGTCTTTACACTGAGCTACATCCCTAGGCTTTTTTTTTTTTTTTTCAGGTCTTTTTGAGGTAGGGTCTTACAATGCAGCTTAGGCTGGCCTTGAGCTCACTTTGTAGTTCATGCTGGTCTGGAACTCACAACCATCCTCCTGCCTCAGCCTCCCAGATGCTAGGATTACAAGCATGTGCCATCATTCCCAGTTCCTGGGCTTTTTAAAAATTTTTTATTTTGAGACTGATTCCTAATGAGTTACTAAAGTGTTACTCAAATTCAAGGTCTTCCTGCCTTGGGCTCCCTCAGTGCTGGGATGTGTCCCACATGTGCCACTGAGCTGGGTGTAACTGCTTAAATTAATTACATCTGTAATGGTGGTGGCACTTATATAAAATGGTATTGAGCGAAACGTAGTGGTACACATCTATGATGGCCTAGCACTGTCAGGGGCTGGGGCAGGAGGATGTCAAATTAGAGTCCTGCCTGAGCACTTTAAAGGCTTAGCGAGACTCTGTCTCCAAAGAGAAAGAAAGAGTGAAAGAAAAAGTTTTGCAGAGCCTGAACTCTGGGATCACACCTCAATTCGCATCCCCGAGCTAACGCTCTGGCTGTGTGACCCCAGGGAAGGAACTTAACTTTTCTGGGCCTCAGTGTCTGCATCCATAAAATAAGAACAACAGCACATATTCCATGGACTTACTGTGAGGATTGAGGGGTTGATGGTTTGATTGTCAAGTGTTTGAAAAGTACCTGCCACAGGAAATGTGCTGTTTTTCTTTGCTTCTACAGATATAGGAAGACTAGAGAGCCATGTTTGGAAAGGGAAGAAAACACGATCTGTTTTAGAGAATAAGAAGCCTTCTCCTCACCCAGTGTGCACCCACTCCTTCCCAAAGCTGCCTCAGCACCCCCTCTCACCCTCACTCCTACGCGCCCCCAGTGGATCCTGTAACACCCCTGCCCCCACCCCTTACCTTCTCTCCTCCTGTGCTGAGCCTTAGCGGGGGCAGGAAGGGGTCATAAAGGACCCTCTTCAGCTCCACATCCACAGGGCTCTGTCGCTTCCCCACAGCACACAGACTCCAGGCTGCGTTCACCAGGCCCCAGAATGGAGGCCCTAGGGGCAGTGTTGGGGGCAGGAGCAAAAGAGTCAGAAACTGGGGCTGGTTCACAATGCTGGGATCTGGTAGGTGGGATTGGTCTGAGGGAGGAGAGGCTGGGTCGTGGAGCCTGTCTTCTAGAAGACTCTTGGAATAGTTCCCCAAGACCCCCTAACACCAATTCTCTCTTCCATCCAATCCATCTTAAACTGTCATTGTGAAAGGAACTACAACTCCCAGCAGGTCTCAGGGCTGCAGCCTTCTCAACCACTGCCGACCTGCCCCATGGTCCCATGGGAGTTGTAGTTCTTTCAGCCTCCCATGTCCCACAGCTGGATCGTGAAGGCACTGGGGTGAGGAGTTGCAAGAGAGACCTGGTGATGAAAAGGGGGACTAGGCCGCCCGCTTCTGCTTCCCAGCAGGAGCCATGACCCACCCCTCTCTGCACACACACACACACACACACACACACATGCTCTCCACCCCCACACTCTTTCTTTCCACTCACTCCCACTCACTACTTGAAATGCGCATGTATAATGTCCCATGGTGAGCCGCGGGGTTCAGAGGCTGGGCCCCACGCCTGAGGGAGGGGGGAAGAGGAGCTGGGACTCCCGGTCTGCGGGGGGAGGAGGGGGTGGAGGACCCAGACTCCAGAGTGTGGAGGAGGCCCCTGATGGAAGGGGGAGGGGGCGGACTCCTGGGTCCCCGCCCTGACTGCACCTGGCACGAAGTTTCCCTGGAGATTATCCTTGTAGCTCCACCAGTCCTGGGGGTCAGGCGCTGGTCCGATGTGCGCTGGGAAGAGAGGAGCCTGTATCCCTCTATTGGACGCCCGCCGCCCCTCCCGCGAGGCTCCCGCCGGGAACCAGGTCTTACCTGCCGCCCCTAGTGCGGCCCAGAGGACCAGCGCTCGAGGGGCGCCCCGCATCCCCAGGAGGCTCGGAGGGACCCCTTGCCGTGCCCTGCGCCCTCAGCTCCCGGGACCCTAGCCCCCCAGGACCCCCAGCCTCTCTCTTCCCCACTGGGGTCCGAGTGCCGGAGGCTGCTCTCCAGTACTCCGCGCCCAGCCCTGCACTCCCTCCACCTCC